CGGTTCTATCCCGTCTTGCTGTTGACATGTCTTTTGTTTCTTGGTGGCTATATGAAACCACTTGTATGGAATGCCCTTGTTAGGGCTATGCTTTTTGACATGATCTTGGCTTTAAGGCACTGTCTAGTCGTTGATCTTTTTTACGAGTGCTTCGGCCTCTTGATTCCTCCGACAAGGGATGAATAGACACACACCAAGAATGCAAGAATGCAAAAGAAAATGCAATGAAGGAATGAATTGGATTTTTTCAAATTTTTTTGAACTTATACCCTTTTGTGCACACTTGTGCCCTATGCATGCTATGCAATGATGCCTCTATGCTAATGCTTAAATGCAGATTGATTTTACTTTCAAGAAATTAATCTATGCGCATTAATCATTGACATGGATTGTTAGCCTTTAGCCGTGTCGAATTCATTCCAAGTGTTGCTTCCTGAACCTGAGGTTCAGTGCTGCTTCTTGAACCTGGGGTTTGTTTAGTTCAGCCCTCTCGCTTGTACCAGGTATGATATGTTAGCCCTTAGATCAGGTGTACCTAGACTCTGTTCTAGGACACCTCCATCTTTTCCTTGTGAGTAGACTATCCCTACTCTACTCCCATGCACAGTATGATCATCGTAGTTCAACCCACATGGAAACATGTAAGGGTAAGCTAGTGAAAATAATCAACATATATATATATATATAAGCAGCCTTCAACTTAACAGCACCATTATTCATTCTCAACAGGTTCAACATATAACACATAACAACTCACAACTCAATCACAGCTCCACAACACAACAACACATATACAACTCATATCGACATCAATTAAACACATCAACAGCTTATGCATCGTCACACATTTCAACTCTGAGATCTCCTACAACATGGGTGAGCAGTTTAAGTGGCTAAGTTCCCGACTTCGTACTTTACTCGAATTGGCCGCTTGTAATTGGTATAGCTCGACCTGGCCCCTATACCGTGGTCGCTTTGTACACGTGTCCCTCGACCTTGCCCACACACGGGACCAACTAAGTCCTAAAGGAGAACATCACAACGTCCACTCCAAGGGACAACTTCCCAAGGAGAGTTTTCAACAAATTGGTGTCCGGGTCGGTTGTGCCGTCGTAGCGGTCGAGGTGGAAAGACTTCCACCCAAAGGGGAGAGGTGTCTCCATGATACCGTCCACGAAAGGATGGCGGCGGAAGGTCGTCTGATTCCCCGTGCCGTGGGCGGGGGCTTTGCTGACGTCGTGCGTCGACTGTTTGTCGACGCGTGAGACCGATGTGTGGGGGGCTTGGGAGGCGGTGCCCTAGCCGCTGTTGGCGGTTGTGAAACTTAGTGCATTTCGTCCTTATTCAGGTTACTCTGCGGAGGGGGTTGATCTGAGGGACGCCGAGAGAGTTGAGTGCGAATGCGCTCGTTCTCGGCGCGTAGTGCCGCTAGGTCGGCTTCATTAGCGATACGCATTGCCGTTAGATCAGTTTCGTGCTTGGCATGCATGCTTTGTAGGTCGGCAGCGTGTTGTTTCCGCATCTGTTCGACTTGGTCGATCAGCCTCCTCAATGTTGCTGCATCACTATCCATGGTAGTTGAGCGATCTAGGTCGTCTGTTGCGCGTCTGTTATGGCTTCTAGTGAAAACCATAAGAATGGCCGATAAGAGCTGGTCTTGATCGGCCCCACGGTGGGCGCCAAATGTTCTTACCGGAAATTTGTCGTAGAGACGGTCTTCCGAGCAAGATTGGTGAGCCTCCTTCGCGGGTACGCTGGTGCTCCAAGATGGGGGTGGTACTTGCAAAAGAGACTCCGATGCCAAAGTTAGTGTTTGTGGGAGTATGAATCTCGTATAAGTAATGCACGTACCTTAGTGTGAATTAGGGTTGCTTTGGGCCTTGGGCCTGAGATAAGATATGATAAGATCTTGAGATAAGATATGATAAGATCTTGAGATAAGATATGATAAGACCTTTAGATAAGATATGATAAGATTAGATAAGGGATCTCGTCTGGAGCGAGATCCCTTGAGATCAGTTATGATCTACTTAAATGCCGAGCTGACGTCGCGTAGCGCGTGCTCGAGGTCATCTTGCGTTGTGATGTCGAGCTCGGAGCTCGGCTTCACAGCACGGACAGTACAAATATTATTTTTAACATAAACAAAAATTAAAAGTAAGAGCACCAATTATGTCTTAGGTCAGACAAGCTTTATTTTTTTACATGGTCCTTGAAGTATTCAATACAAAGATTACAATTACATATAAAGTCTTTCTGAAGTTTTATTCTAAATCCAGATTTTAGTCCATTAGGAATTTGACTAGTGAAGATAAACCGCTATTCTCAATTATAAAATTAGTAATTTTAATTTTAATTATTTATCTGTACATATCTAATAAATTATGTATTTATTTAAATCTGAATGTGATGATGCCTAACCTTAATTCTGTATCTTGGTAGTATACTTTTTGTCAGCGAGTAATGAAGGCCTTGTTTTTGGTTCTACTGAGATTGAATACTGTTGCATTTATTTATACAAGTTGAGATGGCTACTTCAACAAAAAAATATTGAGAACTTTAGATGACTGTTATGAAAGATTGACCATGTATTCATTGCTATCCTATACACTATTTAAAATATGATGTTAGACCTAGAAAAAAAAAATGCTGGTATGGTTATCATTAGTATTGTTAAACCTTATGTAACTTGAAGCTAGTAATTTGCATAATTAAATCGCTGAGTTACCATTGATATTGTCTACATAAATCTATAGAACTGAAACCATGATACAGAACTACCCGTCCACCATTTCAAAAAAAAATTTTGTACAAAAGATAAACTCAGTTATTCACAGTCTTAATCTGAGGTCTAACGTTTATGTCAAGTAACATAGTGAAAACAGCCGTTTGAATAAAATTAAACTACACGAAGTGAATAAAATCCATACTATCATAGCATGCTAACTGTTGATGGCGCAGATAATATAATTCTGTTACCATAGCATAGCCACCACTTAGTGGTGTTGCATAGAGAACCGCAGCTGAACACTACAATGAGACTGGTCTCTCTAACTTAGTAGAAACTGAAATCTCTCTCCCTGCAACACTTCTAAGCCTGTTATACCTAATTCTCACCATATCTTGTTATCCAGAACATGTAGAGGAACAAAGTTGGAAGTATCAGTTCAGGGTAGAAAATGAGGATCATGAAGGGAATGTGAACTATGATTGATGTGAAGGGGTTCTTCCATTGTAAACTTGGGTTAACCTTTGCCATGTGAGCATGGTTTGATTAGCTTTTGCTTGAGATCAAGTCCATTTTGAAAGAGACCACATTCATGGCCTTGTGGGAGAAGCTTGAGAGCCTCTGCATCCAAGTCATTGATCAGTTATTTATGTTTGAAGATAGTGTCGTATCAACTCAAAATTCTTGATATTTTTGCTCAACAACTTACTTCATGGTCAGCCCACAATTTGTTCTATTACCAACTTGCAAGTCAAACAGATCCAAAATATCAATTTAAGCCTTAACCAGTCACCCATGAGACCCTCACATAACAAGATCATTTAATGAGATATTTCATATATATATATATATTCTAAGTTGGGACCAAAATCTTTCTTGTTATTAGCAACCAGCTAAACGTCACAAAATGCCTGCAGATTGTTGCTAATAGCTATAAACACTGACATTAGGAGCCGCTTATTGCACAAGCAAAACAGACTCTTAGGTGTGGAAAACAAACACAAATTCGGAAATAAATGCTAGTTAAAGTGAAAAAGTCCATCTAGACTCATTCTAAGCAGAAAGCAGTGGTCCACACTATTCAGTGCATGTGTGCAGTGTTGCTGCCCGAAACCTACTTTCACTGCTCTCTACTCTTGTAGTTCAGATGTAGCTGGGTCATTTGAAGAGGGTTGCTCTAATGCTGGTGCACTGGACTTGGCCTGTTTTTTAAACTGAACCAAAATCATAGTCATGTTATCACAGCCATCACCAACAAGTATTGTTGGTGCCAAACACCGATCCAGCACTCTTTCACAGACCCCAGAAAGTTTAGTTTCCTGTGAGATAAAATGGTATCATGTCAAAACATCTGTTTCATTGATCAGCCAAACCACATTGAAATAGTAACATGGATCATTAAACAAGTAGACACACCACTTTAATAGAGTATTCTAACCTAAAATACTAACCTACAGACTGATACAAACCAGAACCAACGCAGCAATAATCCACAGGCAACAAGCAATAACAACAAATTATTAATTGAATATTAACTTCATCTATCAGGAAAAATTTATAACTTAAAAACTCACCAAGAGAAGTTGTTGATGTACAAAATCTACCAATTGTTGACTTGACAAACAATCCCTGAATCATTAAGAGCCAATAAGAAGGAAGTAAATCAACCACTTAAGAATTTTCAAGACCTTTACCAGTTACCACCCGTCTCAGGGTACATGCTACCAGAAGAAATTTACAGTGCATATAAGCATGTGGATTTTAATTTTTTAAATCTTCTGGTTGATTAAAATATAAAATATGGCAAGTTCTGTGTAATTTCTTAAATTAGAGGCTAAAGTTTTTAAAACTCTCTTTTTAGTATGATTTACTCATATGGGCATGAAACAAGAAGCTTTTCCAATGCTACAAAAAAGTGCATAATATTATATGCTTACTTTGCATAAAATGATCCCTTTCAGTTATTACATCTAAATAATGCAAATGACCGATATCTTCTATATACTTGGTAACATTCAAACTAAAATGGGGATATAAAAGCACAAGAAGCATACCATATGCCATCACAAGCCAGCACTAAAAATTCATCCTCATCACAAAGTTCAACCTGTGATAAAATGTCATAAACAAAGTTATCAGTTAAAAGTTGAAAGCTTACAATAGTAGTAAATACTGAGACCCTTAACCAAGCATTTCATTATTGGTAATTCCATTTCCATATTGCAACCGGGAAACTGCATATCTATTTTATGTATCAGTTACAAAGTAAGCTGACCCGTAGGGAACAAACTTACAGTATTTAGTAATAATAAGAAGAAGAAAAACCTACAGTATTTATGTCTGGATTGGCTGTCACAATTTGTTTTTCAGCAGAAAGGAATTTATTCTGCTTAAATTCCACGTCACCTGCAAAATATTGAAACATATTGAATGGTGACTATATAAACCATGTAAAAACCACACCACTCCTCCAAAACCCCAACTAAACATAGGATTTAATGGTAATACTGTCGGTGTAAAAAGTTTTACACAATCAACTAATCAGAAATCACAATTTGTATAACTTTTGAGGTAATTATTATCAAAGTCAATAAACTTATCATTTATATGGATTGTAATTGGATGCCAGGTAAAACTATATCATTAAACCAGTAAACATATATGAAATCATCACAAAGAAATTAGCATGCAGAGGAAACAAATAAACATATATGAAATCTTCAATTGCCCAATTTGAAACCAACTCACATGCATCACAACCTCCTGTTGCCTTTTAATTTAGAAACAATATAAAGCATTCAAAATAAAAATAATCGAAAGTTGCCTTTACTTTTTTTGCTCTTTATTATCAATTTATCATATTCAGTTATTGGTTTAATAATAGATTGTGCAGAGGCTCATGCTACTCACTCAAGTTAAAATTGGAAGGAAAATATATGAACATTCATTAAAAGAAAAAGCACACTTTCCAGCTGACAGTAAGTAAGTACCTATAGCCCTTGCAAGGCTTAAAGTCCCATTAACTCTTCCTGCATGAATAAAACCACCAGCTTTTATGATTCTTTCCTTTTCAATCTCAAGATCAGGTTTATGATCTATAGACAAATCATACGCCTGTAGGTATAAGCCATAGTCAGAAAATTATTGTAGGTATACGCCTGTAGGTTTATGCAAGATCTAAGATCTGTTATTTTGTTGATGAAAATCCTAGAATTTCCATCTTGAAGTTACCTGACCCTTCCTAGATATTACACAACGTGAATCACCGGCATTTGCTACAAAAAGTTGGTTGTTTCTAATAATTGCAACACAGGCAGTGCTTCCTGAAGTTGGTCCAGCAAAATTAGAATGGGGACCCTGCTTACAATATATAAGACATATTACAAAATGACAACATAAAGAAAAAAGACAAAAGGAAAACGGAGGTGTAAAGAAAATTATAAACTTCACACATACAAAACCAACATATTTGGATAAACATAACTCTAAATATGGACACAATACTTCTTCACAAGGTTTTATAAATTGGTCCACAATCACGATTTCAGCTGCAACATTAAGGTTTTTGGGTTCTATGTGACTTTGTTGGGACTGTAATTATGGTCTCCTTAGCTGCATTTGTCCCCGATTTTCCACAACATTAAGGATAATAACGAAACTGTAACTGTGATTACAATTTAAAACCTGACTTCTTTACTTAAAAAGCTATTGACATGTACCAACGTATCAAGTATTATCCAAGAAAGCTATGCTGTTGAAAAGTTCAAGCATCTTTCAAATGTCATACCTACCTCCTCAAAGGCCCAACTATCATCTTGGTCCTTAGCATCTCTGCTACGTGGAGACCAAATCAACCCTTCTATCTTACCGTTAAACTTGTTTATCTTATCACCCAAAACTGCTAATTCCCTCCATCCCCTTTGGCCACGCATCATCTCGTCCATTCTGCAATAATTACCAAAATGCTAGTTTGTTACTCTTTTTTTTTTTTTTTTTTTAATTTTTTTTTCTTCTGGTGTTTTGAATGAGGGGAAGAAAACAACGAATGAACTGTTGAAAAGTTCAAGCATCTTTCAAATGTCATACCTACCTCCTCAAAGGCCCAACTATCATCTTGGTCCTTAGCATCTCTGCTACGTGGAGACCAAATCAACCCTTCTATCTTACCGTTAAACTTGTTTATCTTATCACCCAAAACTGCTAATTCCCTCCATCCCCTTTGGCCACGCATCATCTCGTCCATTCTGCAATAATTACCAAAATGCTAGTTTGTTACTCTTTTTTTTTTTTTTTTTTTAATTTCTTTTTCTTCTGGTGTTTTGAATGAGTGGAAGAAAACAACGAATGAATAAGGAATTTTAATGCCATACTTCATATTATCATATATGATCTTTAGTTCTGTAATTTTAATGAAATGCAATAAATTGAAAAATGCTAAACTGTGACAACCAACTAAAAAATGGGCTATAATTCTCCAATACAAAAAGATGAACAAATTTAAGCGACTATTAAGTAAAGAGTAAGACCAGTGGTAACTAGTATCTACACCCCTTTTCTTTTTGCGTGAATAACTACACTCTTTTGTATATTAAAGAAAGATGGTCAAGAATAAGAATTAGAGACTGAGAAAGCTGAAAATTTAGCTGACTATCCAAGTGGAAGTTTTAGACTTTAAATAACCATAAAACCAGCTTCAGTCACTATATTCTGAAATCATGACAAACCACTAGTAATTAAACTTGAGGACCCTCTTTTTCCTCTAACCTGAAAAATGATTCCTGAAGAGAAGTTCCTATATCTCCAGCTATGTATGCTTCATTCTTGAGCACCTGCTGGTGAAGATACTTGGCACAAAACTTTGCAACCACCTTACCTGAAAATTTCGGGGTTAATTGAGCATCCACAACATATTGCCGATTAAAAAATTACACATGATTTCTCTAGTTGAGGAGCATTGTGGTACATGAGTTGCACACTTTCTACCAGATAATGGTCTAGCAGGTGAACCAGCAAATATTTGTTTGAAAAGATGAGTGGAAAAAGAAGAAAGTGGAACATGATATGCTATATAGAACATAAGTACAGAAACAATTTAAAGACATAGCCGAAAAATCAAATCACAGTAGATGGAATCTTGTAGGGTGTAATCTGAATCAATGTATAGGAGTTGCCCTAAACATGCAATGGTGCTAGTTATAATAACTTATGCACATCAAATTATGGATAAGTTAAATAAGGGAGCTCCTAAAAAAATTGAGGTTTTTCCAAGAAGTTCATCCAAACAAATCCTTAATCCACTGACCCAAATGAGAATAATAAATTACCAAGATATAACTTTAGATTGTGCTTCAAATATTTAATAAGTATTGACAAGAAACTAGTAGCCCAATAGTTAACTGGATGATATCTAGGAAAAATGAAACTATACTGAAAAAAGAAAACAAAATCTTACCATTAGGAAAATATTTTCTGCAAAAGTGTCTTTCTTGTGACTATTCAGAGAAATAAGAGAGCATTGCTGTTTTGATTTTCTGCTTTTAAGGGATTATTTGTACGTTTCTTTAATAATTTGTTGTAGTATCTCTTACTTTCTAGAATATATGATATCTTAGTTGTCTATTTTTTGTTATAAGGATTGGGAGAGTAGGAGGGTAAGATATTATTCAAAAGAGAAAAACTAAACAGCAAAAGTAACGAAGTTGTAAACTGAAAATAAATAAATAAATGAAACAGCAAGTCATTTTAACATGCACGGAAGACATATCAATAAATTGTAAAACTGGCATTCATCCATTATTCCAAATAGTCAAATTTGTTCAAATCTTACCTCCATGTCCATCATAAACACCAAAAAAGGAAGTGGACTCATCCAGATCAAGATGTGCAGCATGCTAGCAAAAGAAAAGACAATGAAAAACCTTAAAGCTTATTAATGTTTAACTAAGAGCATCTAAGCAACATGAATACCACGAAATGAGTTGTAAAATACTAAATGTCTCAAGTTAGAAGCGCTCTAAAATACTAAGACTCTAAATTAAAAGCATAATTAATGATAAATACATTCATTCCAGAAAACACAATTCACTGACCAAGAAATTCATTGTCTCTGAGACACGAGAACAAAAGAAAAAAATTACATCTTCTAATGAATCTAATCCCCTGACAACATCTCCATGTCCAAACCACACAGAAATAAAGCTCAAATTTGCTGTAAACTGAACAATAGAGTGTCATACAAATACAAATAAATAACAAATAATTTGACCCTACTGAAAACAATCCCTAGCAGAGTGCTCAAAATTTCAAGGAATCTTCTTAGGACTTGAGGTTTTCTCATAGAATTTGGGGAAATATATTTATCTGTTTCTACAATAATAACAGAATAATGGTGTGAATCAGCTCTAAAAGAAATGCATAATCCCCTCTGTGAGTTGCATATCAAAGATAAAAGAAAAGTCCATACACTCATACAAGAAATTATACTAGTATGACATAAAATGCAAGGGGAAGCAAGTCCGTCCCATCTATTTATTGAAGAAGTCATTTCCAAAAATTCTAACTGCATGCTGATCTAGCTAGGACTGACCTCTGACCCATAAATCAGTGTTATTACAACTATTTTGTCAGTCCACTAATCATACAAAAATTACAGCAAATTGGAAAAAGAAGCAATCCTAGTGATGAAAATTTTATTCCTTCCAATCCCTACTAGAAAAATAAAAGCATTCAAATTAAATTATTTTCTTTATGCATACAGAACTCCGTATTTATTACACACAAGATTTAATAAACTAGCAATTTTTTCCGGTGGTTACTTACTGCATCTTCCATTGTTCCACGCCAGCCTTGCATAGATGATAAACCATATCTAAGATGGTCATTTTCACCATCCTCGGAAGACTTTTCAGTTTTGGGAATGCTGAGATTTGTTCCCATTCCTTTCTGAAAAAAACAAATAAACATTAGTTTTATTTCTTCAAGCATGAAAATTTAAGAAAATTATACCAAAATAAGCCATAGAAAAGAAAATCCGGATATCATTTCAAAATAATTCTTACAAACATGCCACACAACATTAAAAGCTGCATATATAATGAAAAGCAATACCATGATTCTAAAACACAAATCTAATGTGCACATTAAACATGATAAAAATAAAGAACCTTCCCTTTCTAAAAGGAAAGTAGAAAGGGTAAGAGAAAATGTTAACAGCAAGGAACACTTGTATGGGGAGAAAAATGAAGCATAATTTTTGTATAGTTCAGAAGAAAAATAATGATGAGGATATAATTTTCAGCCATGGAACTATGAAGAAGACTCCGACCATATAAAAGGTCATTAAACTCTTTCTATTTCTCCCTTTCTCAATGATTAAAAAACACAGACTGAAACTAAATACAGAATGATCTAAAACCATGCTACACAAGGAGGAACCAAAATTTCAACACAAAATAAGCTATGAAGAGACAGAGCAAACAGAATTCCATGTATAGGCAATGAAAACTGAATAAAGAAAAACTAGTATCTTAAAATGGAAAAATAATATAGAATATTACAAAAGAGAAATTGAAAATTCGTCATGTCTTAATTCTGTTAATAAATGTATGAACATCAAGATTAATCAACAGTTGGAGAAAAAGAACGAAATCAAAGACAAATACAAGGTGGAATTCCATAATCAAGTAAGACCCAGATGATAATATGACTCGTAAATGGATAATAAGAGCTCACAGCTCATAATTTTGTGAACTCTAATTAGTAAGTGAAAAAAAAAAAAACTATCTGAGAAGCAACAATTCATTAGGAGAGTACCACTAATTAACAGGTCAGAAACATGAAGAAAGTGATGAGTTAAGTTTGAGTTTGGACAGAAACTTGAAAGATAAATAAGATAGAGAGCATGGAAGAAGACAGAGTTACTACAGCAACTATTATAAAGAAAGAAAAGAAGAAGACTTTGTAGCACAGAATGATATTTCTTTCTCGGGTTTGGAGCCTCTGAATTTGTCAGATACTATTCATCCACCCAATGTTTTTTCATACACACTCAACTAGTTAATGCTACACTCTCTTCAAAGTTCAAACCTAGAATTGAAAATATCTTTTGTGATGTAAAATTCAACGTAAGATGGTAATTAGATAAAGAAATAACTTGATAGAACCAACATCAACTATTACTATTAATTTTTTAATATAGTATACTATTTTAAAATTTAGATTTGAGCAAAATTTAATCTTAAAAACTACCTAATAAACTGATTTTGACACCATGCCTTCATGCGTATACAATTTGATATATATTTTTTTATATTATTGTGACTTTTTTAAAATCTGAGTTTAATGAGTGAAAACGCAGGACTTTGATGTAACTATGCTGTCAATGTTGTTGTTTTCCTTTCATTTTCTTGTCTTTTTCTTCCTTAAAAAAAGCACTATCAACTACTTAAATTTACATGGAGTGTTCTTAAAACTAGACCCTCTTCGTCAACAGCAAATAGCAACCATCCAATCAATAAAATTTATGAAGTATGAAGAATTTACTAAGTCATTGACGAGGGAAGGAATTGTACAAGAAAGTGACATGTAACAATATTTAAACATATTTATTATTATATAAACATTTAGATAAATAGATAGAAGTAGACGTAAATATAAATAAAAAAAATTAAAATTTTCAAATAATATATAAAAAAAAAACTCAATTCACTGATCGATTAGACAAAAGGTGAAAATAATATACATGAGTAAAAATAATATATATGATTAAGAATAATCACGATTTTATAAGTTAATTTGACAGGATTTGAATTTAAATAACATCAAAATTTATTATAAATTCATTAATAGTTATTATTTATTTATGAATTAAACTTAATAATATTACATGAGAAAATGTATTGAAAAAATTTCAAATCATATATTAAAAATATGATAAAAATAAAATATATTATTAAAAATAATTATAACCTTATAAATTGATTTAAAGGTAAGTTATAATATAAAATTTATAAATATAAAGTTTAATATATCACAAAGCTGAAATCATTAAGGTGTAAAGAGTTGAAGTAAAATATATAAAGTTTTAAATTCGAATTTTAATATTATATTATAATTTTGATAAATAAAAAAATATTTATCACAAAGGTGAGCATAATCTCTTAACAGAGATTTTTTTCTTCTTCTTTCATTTACATATATAAAATATCAAATTCTAACCATGCACATTTATGAACCTAACTATTACTACCAATGATGTCTCTTTACCACTCCTGCTATGGTATCCTTCTTTTTCTTATAATGAGTAGAGACAGATAAAGACTTCTAAGTCAAGGTCTTTGGCAAGCTAAGCTGGTTTGAATGTAACACCGACTAAATTTTATGGGTGCTTTCCAAGAAAAATGAATTTCTTTTACTTTATAGCAATAAACAAATGCATTACACAACTGATATTTAAATTATATATAGAGAGAATAAAATACTTGTCCTAAAAGATATCTCTTCAAAATAATAAAAATAATATATAAATAATTATTTCAAGAGTAAGTCTACTCTAGACTTATTCCGTTCAATAAATCATGTTCTACATTAAATTTCAACGATCCAACCGTTCAATTTAAAGTTCTTAATGTATAGATCAAATCTACAAATTTTTGGAAAATTTAAAAATTATTTGATACTTCGTTTCATTAATTCGAATCAATGTATAAAATAATTTTATGATTATCCGTCAATTTCAATTATTGGAATGAAGTATTAAATGATTTTCAAATTCTTTAAAAATTTGCAGATTTGATCTATGCATTAAGAACTTTAAATTGAATGGTTGGATCGTTGAAATTTGATGTAGAACGTGAGTTATTGAACGGAGTAAGTTTAGGTAGACTTACTCTTGGAGTAAACGGATCCTTCCTTATATATATATAAGGGGAGTTATAGTTACACCGGTGTAACTTTTACTAAGTATTACACCACTCAATAACTTTATATTAAATGTGAATTTTGTAAATTCAACCGTTAGATTGAAAGTTCATATCACTTTATATGTGTATATCAAATTTTGTTAAAATTGAACGACAATTTGAAGGTGATCAAAGTGTTCGTATTTTAGTATATTTTGAAATGAATATATTACGTCAATTTTGTTTTATAAAAATGAAGTATCAAATCATCTTGGATTAATATAAAATTTTGTATATATGATCTAAGAGATATGAACTTTCAATTTAACGGTTAAATTTACAAAATTCGCATTTAATATAAAATTATTGATCAGTGTAACACTTAGTAAAAATTACACCAGTGTTATTATAACTCCTATATATATATATATATATATATATATATG